AAATATAATGATTAAATAAATAAGAACCTGTTTATTAATTATTTGTTTTAATGATAAACATTGTGATAAATTCTAGTTGATATTGAGCAGTAAACTTTTTTTAATTATTAATAATTAGGAAAAATAAGTTGATTGGTTCCGTGTAAAAAATAAAATAAAAAAAACTGCTTGGAATCGGCTTCAAGATTGATTAAGTCTCGTTGCCTTGATGGTAATCAACAAACCCTTGAAATTTTCCTTTACGACGACGGTTCAAAAGCCACGTTGGAAGAAAGACATCAAAATGAAATTATATTATATGACAACAGAAATAGCTTGTCGTCAGCCCCGCAGAAAAAGATTAAAGAAATAGCTTCCACTCAGTCGTCTTCCATGTGGACTTGAATGACAAACGACATATTCAAAAAAAAAAAAAAAAAGACGAATATTAAATCACAGCTTCAAGGACAAAACTCACGTTTGTTTCAACCATTTGAACCTAAAAATTAGCCATGAGCCTGTTCTAAGGAATTCCAAGGACGACTTCTTTATTTACACAACGCTTCTTTTAGAATTTCAAACCATATATTTTGATCTAACTTGTATGGATGATAAAAGCTTAATTGAGACGGTATCAAATTAGGACACCAAAATTGCAACTTTTTTGCTCCCCTCAATATTCCCATTTTCAACACTGCAAGCTAGTGTATCAGTTTCATCACATATAAACACCCGCCAAAAAGAGGAAAAGAAAATCCAACGAAAAAGATAGGGATCTTCATGGCAAAGACGGCAGATTGGCAGAATCCATTTATGTTGTTAATCTATGCTTCTATATATTAAAAAAACCGAATTGTGGAAAGGCAACAGAGAAGGGCATAAACAAACGGTATGTTTCCAACAATAAACAAATATACACAATGAAGCACACGTTAAACAAAACCAAGCCAAACAATTAACAAACACCACTCCATTCTTCTATCACCAATTAACGAACATCAAATACAACTCAAAAAGAAAAAAAAAAAAAAACAAAAAGAAAGCTCAAACTGAAGCATACAACTTGGGAACAAAAGAAAACCATCTAAATCCACAGCTCCATTTATCAGGCAGTGAAGGGCATTTGGAAAGCCAATGCCAAGTTCTCCTCGAGGCTTTATAGTACAAAATCTCAGGCCAAGTATAGCAGCAAATACAGATCAACCCTTGATGCCCAAAGCAATAAACATGGTGGTAATTGTGGTAACAAACCGACATGAACTTTTGGCACATCATTTCTGGAACTCTCTCAATCTCAACCCACTTTCCCATTTCTTCACTCAATTCCCACACCTTCATGCTTCTAGAAATCCCATTTCTCCCAATCCCACCTATCAAATACAGTTTCCCTTTCCCTCTCCCTTCTTCTCCACCACCGCCACTCACCAAACGCACAAACGTCAAGTCGTTTGGGAGCTCAGCGTCAGATCTCTCCCACTTCCCAGTCTCCAAATCGAAGGAAACGACAGAGAAAGGCTCTGGGGTTGTGAAAGACAAACACCCATTAAAATACACGCCTTTCTCGTGATAATTATCGCTCAAAATCGGCTCGAAACCGTCGAATTCACGCCACGAATTCGTCCTTGAGTAGAAAACGAAAGTGATGTTGGAATTGGACCGAGAAGAGACCGTGAAGATGCTGTACCCAAAAGGAGTGGAGATCAGAGAGAGAATGTCGAAGGCGAAGGGGTAAAACGGGAATTTGATCACTCTCCAGGAATTGGCCAATACGTTGCAGACCAGGAAGGAAAACGACGAAGGGAGAGAGAAACAGAGCAAGCCGTTTGAGGCGGAGAGGAGAGAGGAAGAAGGCCTCGTCGGAGCCGATAAGGAGGACAGAGAGAGGTCGCGCCACGTGGCTAGATATGAGTCGTAGAGGGCGAAGCTGAGGTGAAACTGGGGGTGAGAGAGCAAGAGAAAGGAAGGTAAAGAGGAAGAGTGTTTGGAGACGAAGGAAGGAGAGAAGACGAGGGAGTTGAAGCGCTTGCAGGTGGATCTGAGGTTGAAGAAGGTTTTCAGAGGGAGAAAGGAGAGGACATGCTCTAGAAGCTCCGCCGGAAAGCGGCTCCAGATCTTGGGGTCCATCGCCGGAGAACTGACCGTGGCGGTGGGGGAGTGGACACGGGCGTATGGGTTTGCTCTGTTGCGTTGGTCTTTCATCGGAAACACCGAAAAGAGGGTGGGTTTTGGAAGAGAAAAAGAAACGGATTTTTTTTTAGTGTGTTTCTTTCTGTCTTAGTCTAGAGATATAAAGAGGGCAATATTTTCTTAATAAAAATAAAA